AGGGTTTAGGGGTTGGGGTGTGGGGTTTGGGGTTTGGGTGTAGGATGGAAAGGATGAACTTGGCTTTCTGCTCGGCCCAAGGCGCCGCAATTCTGCTCTTTCAACTTGGCGGAGCTCTGCCGATCCCTGACTTCGCAAGCGATGGCTGGAATTTGCACCTCCGTTTGCATCCTGATCGTGCCCCTGTATTGGCTGGAAATGATTCGGCGATCGCACAACTGGCAGCCTCAGTCGCGAAGACACATCATGGGCTTCCTGGTGTCGGGCTACAGGCCTGCAGTAGAGTCTGGGTGGCACTTTGGCAAGCCCTAAACCCTAACCCTAAACCCTAAACCCTAAGCCCTGAACCCTAACCCTAAGCCCTAAACCTTAAGCCCTAAGCCCTAAACCCTAAACCCTAAAACCTAAACCCTCTGCCCTAAACCCCTAAAGCCCTAAACCCTAAACCCTAAACCCGAAGCCCTGAACCCTAAACCCCTAAACCCCTAAAGCCCTAAACCCTTTAACCAACCGGCCTGAGGAGTGGTGGGAGGTGGTTCCTTTACTTCGAAAGGTACTGCTGCTGCAAGTGAAGGTCTTCTTCCCACCAAGCTGCTTGGTTTAGGGCTTAGGGTTTAGGGGTTTAGGGTTTAGGGGCTTAAGGTTTATGGGTTTAGGGTTTAGGGGTTTAGGGTTTAGGGTTCAGGGCTTTAGGGGTTCTGTAGGGGATTAAGATGTGGATCATTCTCTAAATTAGGGTCCCTTTGGGGGTCCTTGGGTTTTAGGGTCCTTGTTTTGGGGGCTCCTTAAAGGGATCCATATATGGGTTTCTATAAGATTTCTAGAAGGGTACTACCTGGATAGTTCTCTAGATTAGGGTCCCTTTTTAGGTCCCTTTTTTTATAAGGGTGCCATATTATATTGGGGGACCTAAAAGGAACCCTAACTGAGAGAACTACCCACTTAGGAGCCGAACCTGTATACTTCTGCCCTTTCCGGAAAGTTAATCGCATAACTTTATGTACTTGTTGGGTTGTTGTTTCAAGTCCTTAGCAACAAGTTTGAACCTTTTGGCCCCTGGTGATTGAAGATGAGAGGCTAGTAGAGGACTTAGTGAACTCTCCCTTTCGGGATAGTATCATCCGCTCTAGAACTGAAAGTCTAAAACTTTTTTGGTCCTTTGAGTCACAAACCCCCTACAGAACTGAAATGTTAAACCCTAAGCCCTAAACCTTCAACCCTTGGGACTTCTGAACTCGGCAGACCCTCAACCCTTAACCCTGAACCCTAAACCCTAAACCGTTAAGGCTTTAGGGTTTAGGGTTTAGTGTTAGGGTTTAGGGTTTAGGGTTAAACCCTAAACCCTAAACCCTAAACCCTAAACCGTTAAGGCTATGCTGGCTCGACCTACCTCACCCTCACGCTGGGTGTCCTCTTCAGCAGCCTGGTGCTTCACATCGTTGTATGGCCCTACGAGGACGTCTATCTGGTTTAGGGTTTAGGGTTTAGAACCGGGCCGTTTATAGGATTTTCTACAGGATTTCACAGGGCTTGTCGATTTAAGGAAGGACTTATATGGGGGCTTCCGAAAATAGGGGACCCTAATCTAGTACCCTAAATAATAGGATCCTTATTATCAGGACCCCAAAATAAGGTACCCCTAATTGTCGGAAAGTCCCCCTATGTAAGTACGAGGACATCCACCTGAATCGCATTGAGGGCTCCGCGTTGGCGGCCAGTGTCTTCGCCCTGATGCTGGCCAGCTTGGCGGTGGCCCTCGAGTGGTTCAAGCACGAAGATGCTTGGTACTGGTAGTAGAGTAGGGTACCCTTGAACCGTTTTTGGGTTCTAAAAGTTACCCATAGGCCCCTAAGCAGTTCCTGTTTGTGGTTTATATTTAGAATCCTATACATAAGGTAGTCCCAAAAATGAACTACTTAGGGGCCTATGGGTAATATCCATATTATAGCCCAAATATCATTTAGTTCCCGTAGGATACTGGACAAGTAAGGATGTAACGCTGCGATATTTGACGGGTTTGTGCATCGTGCTGGTTGTCAGCACGGTGGTCCTGGTCGTGCTACTGATAAGGTCTCTTCTTGAGCAGGTGCAAAACAGAATACGTCGGAGGGATGTATCCAATGTATCCGTGGAGATGCAAAGTTGCGCTTCCACGACGTGACTCATCCCGTCACTGGGGCTGGAAGCAGTCGTCGTCGTCGTCATGCGGAGCAAGCTAGGCAGAAGTTCGTCACTATCCTTGCACGTGGCCCCTCAGACTGGACAAGCCGGCAGTACGTCACAGTTTTCGTGCGCATCATGAGATAGAGGTCGAGGTCAAGCCCAACTTCCACCACTGCGATTGGATGTGATCCCAGCTGGCACATGCTGGAAGCTCTGCACAGGCACGTGATGTAGGCGCAGGTCCGAAAACATGAGCGGAAGCAGCACCATCCTGGACCATGAACTTTTAGAACGGCATTTCGACAGTTGTAGAGGTGTTGTACGGTGTTGTGATAAACTCATTCAGGTATAGGGTTTTCGAATGTGTAACGGTATAGGCCCATAGCATGGCATGCTAGGCGTGGTTGACTTTTTCGTTGGTGTCATCCATATCCCAATATACAAACCCTAAATGATAAACCCTAAACCCTATACGGCCCCTGAAATTGAAGGAGCCCTGTCCCGGACCCTATAAACCCTAAACCCTAAACTCAAAGCCCTAATCTCAACACCCTAAACTCAAAACCCTAAACCCTAAACCCTAAACTCAAAACCCTAAACCCTAAACCCTAAACCCTAAACTCAAAACCCTAAACCCTAAACTCTAATCTCGAAACCCTAAACCTCAACCCTAAACCCTGAAACCACAATGCAATGGCCTTTTGGCCTAAGGCTCCAGCCAGGGGTCTCCCATTATATTTTAAGTTATAGAAAGTTTAGGGCTTAGGGTTTCGGGTTTAGAGTTTGGGGTTTTAGGGTTTAGGGTTTAGAGTTTGGGGTTTTAGGGTCTTCGGGTATTTAGGGTTCAACTCAGTCCGAGTTTAGGTAAACCCCTGAGTTACGAGGTTTTGAAGTCTCCGGGCAGTTCAACATTTTGGTATTTCGTTTTGTATTCAGGGCCACCCCACACCCCTAAAGCCCGAAGCCACAAACCTTTAACCCGCAAAACCCCAGAGGTCTAAAGCCTAGACGCCCGAACTGGAACCGTAAGCCCTAAAACTCAAACTAGGTTCCCCAGCAGTACCCCTTTTGCCCTTTTGCTTTTTGGGTTCCCTTATTAAAGCCAAATAGTAGGAAAAAGGGTACCCTTATTATTAAGGGGCTACTGGGGAACCTAGTAAATACTTGAACCACGCACCCTTAACCCCAAGCTCAACAGGCAAAACTTTTCATCGATGTCTTATTGTAGCTATTCTATAAGATACCCCCCGAAACCCTCTTGACCCTGTTCGAGATAGTAAGCCTATATTCGAAAAGCCCTATAAGTTCTGTTAAAGCACACTTCTTGCTGGATTAGCCCAAACCCCAAACCCTAAACCCTAAACCCTAAAACCCTAAAACCCTAAAACCCTAAACCCTTAAGCCCTAAGCCCTACGGAGCTTGAAAAGAAGCTTTGCTGGAGCTTGCTGGGATTCCAGGTTTAGGGTTTCAGGGGCTTGGGGGCTTTTAGGGTTTAGGGGTTTAGGGGCTTGGGGGTTTGTAGGCGCATCCTAACCTACCAAAACATACGTTTTTAACTGGGCCCCCGTAAGTTTCATACGAGGGTTTGTAAAAAGAACCTACAAACAAAAGTCGGCTATGGTAGCTGAAGGTAGACCTGGGGGGTTCAGTAGGATTGTTGGGTTCAGGATTTTGGGTCCTTCATTGCCTATATAGGGTTTGGGGGTGTAGTTAAACGTTAAAGGGTGATGAACATATAGGGTTTCTGGGGTTTGTAGTGCTTTTGAGGGTTGGTAGTGTTTTTGAGGGTTCTAGGACTTTGGCTACTGGAGGGTTTTGAGGGTATAGGAGTTTTAGTGTTTCAGGGTTGTTTGGCTTTTAGGGCTTAGGGTAGTGTTTTTCAGGCTTAGCCTAAACAGGTCAGCGGCTGCCAGCCCGCCGCTGCAGAGAACCAGCCGGATGTCATCTCTTTTGAACAGGCACACGGTTCAGGATTTGGAATTTCGGGCCCTTACCCCTTAGCATCAAAATAGCCCCAAAGCCTTATATAATAGGGTCTTTGGGCCCAAAAGCTTGAAACTATGACAAATTTGAGGGTGTGGTACAAACAGAAAGTACTTGGGTGTCCCTAAACCCCAAACCCTGAACCCTAAATCCTAGCGTCGTCCTTAGTGCCTTAATGTTCCTTGCTCGTAACTATGCCCAGTGGCGATGTTTTGATTTAGAATTTACCTGGACCCCAGAGGACCTCCCTTCTTAGGGTTCCTTATTATGATTTGGGACTTTCCGAAAATTAGGGGCACCTTATTTTGGGGTCCTTATCAAAAGGATCCTACTATTTAGGGTACTATATTAGGGTCCCCTATTTTCGGAAACCCCCATTTCCTTATATAAGTCCTTACAAAGGTAGGATATTTGGGGTGAAGGTAGGGTTTAGGGCGTACAGGGCTGAGGGTTTAGGAAATTCTACTGGGCAGGGAAAGTGTCGCTCCGAAGCTCTGTCTTGATAGCTCCGACAGCCCGCAAGCCCAAAACCTTGTGTGTCTGCATTCAACTAGGTTCCGGAGTAGTACCCATTTGCCCTTTTTGCTGTTATGGTTCCCCTATTAAAACTGAATAGCAGGAAAAAGGGTACCTTTATTGTTAAGGGATCACTCAGGAACCTAGTCAACCTCCTTATGCATGCAAATAACTTACTACCTGATTTAGTCTGGCATCATCTTCACTATACTTTGTTGTGTTCATTTTTTTGAACTATACTACTATTCTGCAGCGTAGTCTAGGCTAGCCGTCTGTTCCCAAGAGGGTCCATATATACTACCATTATGGAATTAGGTCCTCAAAACCATGGTAAAGGTGGTCTTTTCGGACCTGATCCCATAAACCCTAAACCCTAAACCCCTAAGCCCTAAACCCTTAAACCTAAACATAATAGTAGTGTATCTGGGCCCCCAAGAGACTCCTCAATTAAGGAATATACCTTAAGTTGCAATGGTATATCCCTTAATTAAGGGGTTTTGGAGTCTCTGGGCCTATCGGTTCTAAGCCGCAGACTCTTCCGCCCCCGCTTGTTTCCTGTGGCGTACGCAATAAGTCGTGCTGGGTAGCTCGGTTTAGGGTCTAGGGTTTAGGGGTTTAG